CCTTCCGGGTGCTGGGACTGGCTCACCTTCTTGGCCCTAGGAGCCTGGGATGGCAGCGGGGGAGCTTCCTTCCGGGTGCTGGGACCGGCTCAGCTTCTCTGCCCTAGGAGCCTGGGATGGAGGCAGGGAGCTTCCTTCCGGGTGCTGGGACCGGCTATTTTTAAATTTTCATAAGAGAGACCCATATGTTTAAAAATCCTAGATTGTTTCCTAAAATAATTAAGTACTATTCATTCAGTGTATGTACAATTTAGTATTGAAGTCCTATCTCCTTAGCTGAAGCCTTTTCAGATGGCCTCCACCCATAGTCCTTACCTATATTTCTAACTTCTACCTTTCTGCATTGTATTTACATGTGTACATTAATCTGTTCCATTGGACTGAGATGCTGTACATAACAATTGTATACCTTTCTACTTGCCTAGTAGATGGTTAGTAAATGTTTGAAGGAATGAATCAGTGTGAGAAGTGTGATCAGTGGGTTTCCTTTGATACTATCTGAGAAGTTTGGGGGGAAATGAAAGAGAAACTGAAAGTTATGATTCAGACTTTTTTTGTAGCTTTGAAAAGAATGCTGATTTCTGGCTGTATACAAAAAAGTATGATCCTCGATCTTTAAAAATTCACATCCTGGGCCCGGGGATTTAGCTTACTGGCACCAACCTGCCTCAAAACCGCAAGGCCCTGAGTTTGATCCTTGGTACCAAAAAAAACCCCAAAAACCTCATATCCTACCCAGTTTGGTATACTTAAAGCAGAGGCTCCTGTAGTTTCCCACTAAAAGTAATCAAGGCTTCTTTGGGAAATAGCTGATTGCAGAACCAGAGTAGGACATGTGCAAGATGATCTTATATATCTCATCATATCAGAAAGCAAAGAAGCCAAAAAAGACTACTCAGCTCATATCATATGTACACGGGAGCCTACATGAAGCTGTTCCTGTTGGCCTAAACATATGCTATGATAAACACAAAACATTACAGATATATAGGGGTTTATAATAATACTAAAAATAAATCTTAGCCAGCTTTGGAAATTTCTAGGGTACCAGCTTTAAAAATTATCCTGCCTCTTCTATGCAAAGAGTAACCAAACAGTTGAGTAGAGTAAGTCTTCAAGAAGAATTGATGCTAATAAATGAAGAAGACATCTTAAAACTGTAATATGGCCAGTATCACCATTTTACAACCCCTAATGAAATAATATTTCTGAACAGTAATTATCAATTGGAGTTAAACAGTCTTTAGCTGTTTAAAACTGACAACATAAGATTGCACCAAGAAAGTAACGGTCTGTAAAGGATAAGTACCATAAACCCTCATGAGTTATCACATACCTGGGACTGAAACATTGCTGTTTAATACGAATATATTAAATAATAATTATAAAGGATTGAAGTGATTTTTGAGAGCCTCAAGAAAATTTCAGAGGAAAACTTTGTAAACATAAATATGAAACATTTACAAAGGGAATATAGAATTGGATTTGAAAGGAATATACATTTTAATTTGGGAACAATGACAGAAGTTGAAAGAAAGATAAGATCTCTGACTCTGTGAGCTTTGTCTTCAGGAGAATTTACTAGGCATGGCAATAAAGTTAGCAAAAAGCACCTGTTAGGTTAGATTCAACAAAAGATAAAATCTACTTAAAGTGACTATATTAGTCAATAAAGATTATGATCAAATTTTCAATTTTATTTGAAAAACTAGTATATATCAATTCAGATTTGTAAGTAAAATAAAATGATTTTTATACCATGAGAGATATTAAATTGTTGGTTCTTAAAGGAAAGAAAGTCAACCATTGCTTGCTAACTTTTTCTTTTATATTACCTGTTCAGTGTGAACTATCATTTTTTTTTTTTTTTTTGGTACCGGGGATTGATCTCGGGACCTTGTGCTTGCGAGAGAGGTGCCGGAACCACTGAGCTAAATCCCCAGCCCCTGGACTATCATTTCTTAATAAAACTTCAGGATGCCTTTGTTGCCCCGTGCTTTCTTACATGATTTTATCTCGTATCAGACTACTTGGAGACATTTTAACATCATTTCTTTTTAAATTTTAAATGTCTAAAACTATCTCTTTTTTCTCAGGTTCCTAGTCTTCCAGTTCTCTTTGAATTTTTTTCTCGCTTATGTCCAAATTGTGTTGTGCTCATGTCTTCTGTTGTTTTGTCAAAAGGATAGCCATTTTCTTTCATCCTAAGTATCAAAAGAATTATCTTCTCCAAATAACCTTTGTGTGTCTACTTCTCTGTTCATCTACCTTCAGTACTCTTCCTATTGTTTGTGATAAAAGCCAAACTCTAGTATGATTCGTCTTTCAAAAATTTTTCATTATTAAATCCCAGCCTGCTTTTACAACAATTTGTTTCACAAAACTTCTGATACAAACTTTTAACTCCAGCCAAATCTGTTTTAGTCACCTTGTTTGGAACATGCTTTTGCCGACTCTTACATTTATGTCCTTTACTCATTCTGTATCCTTCAAGAATTATTTTTCCCCCATAGAAGTCCTAATATCCTATGAAACCATCAGGCCATACCTACTCCATTAACCCAGTCCTTTCCTACAGTAGCCTACAGTATTAACTATATTGAACTTCAGTACCACTTGTTATTTGACACACCCTCATAAAATAATGTTCCATTTTCAGAAATCGTGATTTGTCTCCCAAATTGAGTTGCAGGTTCTTCTAGAGGAAAAGTTCAGTCTTAACAATATTGTGCGTATGAGAGATGTTCAGTTAATATTTCTGTGGATGATTTATGATTAATGTTTAGCCTGCTTCTTTGGAGTATTTTTTAAAACAATCTGCTTTTGTTTTTTGTGTCTTTTGTTTCTCTGGAATAGATTTTTTAATATTATTTTATTAGTGTATGTTTGCAGTTCATGCAGTTTACAATTATCTTGGGAGTGGTTATATGTACATACCACAGCTTGTTTCTTTTTTAATCCCTTTCTCCTGCCCTCTCTCCTCCTGTAATTCCCCTATCCCATTTTTTCTTCTTGTTGATATTATGAATCTTAGCTCATGTAATGGCATATAATGGTTACGTTAATTGAGGTTATTAGGTTTCTGTACATGGCATATCTTTATTCTACTTAATTCCCCTTGCCCTCCTACTCACACCTTGCGCTTTTTCCCTTGGGCCACTTCCCTATTGCAAGAGGTCCATCTCCTTGTCCCCTTCTATCCATCCTTATTATTCTGTTTGTACTTTGCCTCACTCAAATGAAAGATACCATACCATATTTAAGCTTGTGTATCTGGTTTATTTCACTCACCATTATATTTGCCTGTTGCATCCATTTTCTTGCAAATGTCTCAAATTATTCCACCATAGATAGACACCACATTTGCTTTATCCAATCATCTGTTGATGGATATACAGGTTGTTTCCAGGATTTAGCTATTGTGAATTGTTCTGCTGTAAACATTGGTATGCTTATATCACTGTAGTAAGATATCTTAAGCTCTTTGGGGAAGTTACCTAGTAGAGGGATCGCTGGGTCATATAGAGTTTCTAATTTTAGTTCTTTGGGAAATTTCCACACTGATTTCCATAATGGCTGTACTAGTTTACATTCCCACCAGCAATGAAGGAGGGTTCCTTTTTCACCACAGCCTCGCCAGCATTTGTTATTGTTTGATTTCTTAGTAATTACCATTCTTTCCAGAGTAAGGTAGAATCTTAGCAATGTTTTAATTTGCATTTCTCTAATGGCAAGAGATGTTGAGCATTTTTTCATATATTTGTTAACCGTTTGTATTTCTTCCTCTGTGAAGTGTCTATTCATTTCCCTTGCCCATTTCTTAACTGGATCTTTAATTTTAGGTGGTTTAATTTTTTGAGTTATTTATGTATTCTAAATATTAATCCTCTTCCTAATGAGTAGCTTTCAAAAAAATTTTTCCCATTCTGTAGTTTTATCTCCTCACTATATTGATTGATTCTTTTGCTGTACAGAAGCTTTTTAGTCTGATATAGTTCTATTTGTTGGTTCTTGCTGCTCTTGTGCAATTGACTTTCTGTTTCGAAAAATCTTTTTTCAGGAATAGTTTTGTGTGCTGCTCTGTAAAGGCAGAGATATGAACTCAGCTCCTCTGGAGGCTACTTTGCACTTAGAATTCATACATAGATACAGTGGTGCCTTGGTTCACAAATTTAATTTGCTCCATGATTTTAGAAAAGATGACCATGTTTGTATTTGTACAGGAAAGATGGCTGCAGTTGTGTTTATCACTGGATGTAGAGTTTGTAAACACAAAGTTTTGCCTAATCCTTTTGTTGGCAAACCAAATTGTTCGCCAACAAAAGCATTTGTGAACTGAGGTACCGCTGTAAATATTTTGCACAAGTTAAGAGGAAGCATGTGAATTGAGATGACTTTAGTATGAATTTTAGAACTTTTTTATTTAAATACTACAAATGAATTTGTTTAAAGGGTCATTAATTTAAAAGAATATGTATAGCACTTGAATATGCATGCATTGATAGTTTTCTTGGAAGTCGTTTGAAAAGCCTTAAATTATATCACGTAACTTTTTTTTAAAATATTGAATATTTAAGTGGAATGATTACCTTATTCAGTAATGAAATTGTATTTTAATTAGGTTATAATTTTACTGTATATGAATGGATCCATTTACTAAATAGCATCTCCTAAAGCAATGATGATTTGATTCATTTTTGTTACTAATAAGAGTTTTTTCCATTGCATTAATAGTGAGAATTTTTAATTCGTTTCCATAAAAAATGATTCTTCTCAGAAAGGGTCAAATGTATCTGTTATCATGTGGTGTTTTTGGTGATGATAGTCATTAAGTATTTATTACCTTCTGATTATTAACATCAAGTTTTTTTTTAATAGAATAATAATAACCTGGATGCCTGCTGTGCTGTTCTCTCTCAGGAGAGTACAAGGTATCTTTATGGTGAAGGAGACTTGAATTTTTCGGATGATTCTGGAATTTCTGGTCTACGCAATCACATGACTTCTCTCAACTTGGACTTGCAATCAGAGAATGTTTACCACCATGGAAGAGAAGGAAATAGAATGAATGGAAGTAGGACTCTAACGCACAGCATTAGTGATGGACAACTTCAAGGGGGTCAGTCCAATAATGAACTATTTCAGCAGGAGCCACAAACAGCACCAGCTCAAGTTCCTCAAGGCTTTAATGTTTTTGGAATCTCCAGTACATCTGGTTCTTCAAATTCAGTACCACATCTTGGATTTCACTTAGGCAGCAAAGGAACATCTAACCTTTCTCAACAAACTCCCAGATTTAATCCCATTATGGTAACCTTAGCCCCAAATATCCAGACTGGTCGTAATACTCCTACATCTTTGCACATACATGGTGTACCTCCACCTGTACTTAACAGTCCACAGGGAAATTCTATCTACATTAGGCCTTACATTACAACTCCTAGTGGTACAACTCGACAGACACAGCAGCATTCTGGCTGGGTGTCTCAGTTTAATCCCATGAATCCTCAACAAGTTTATCAGCCTTCACAGCCTGGTCCCTGGACTACTTATCCTGCATCTAATCCTCTGCCACATACCTCAACCCAACAGCCAAGTCAGCAAGGCCACCAGACCTCTCATGTCTACGTGCCCATCAGTTCACCTACTACTCCACAACCACCAACAATTCATTCATCTGGTAGCTCGCAATCTTCTACCCATAGCCAGTATAACATTCAGGATATTTCAACAGGACCTCGAAAAAACCAGATTGAAATCAAATTTGAACCCCCACAAAGAAACAGTTCTTCAAAATTGCGTTCTTCTGGACCTCGAACATCTAGCACTTCCTCTTCAGTCAACAGCCAGACCTTAAATAGAAATCAGCCCACTGTTTACATAGCTGCCAGTCCCCCGAATACTGATGAGACGATCTCCCGTAGTCAACCTAAGGTTTATATTTCAGCTAATGCCACGACAGGAGATGAACCGGGCATGCGCAGTCAGCCCACAGTCTTCATATCCACAAACTCTGGGGCATCTGCTGCCTCCAGGAATATGTCTGGGCAAGTGAGCATGGGTCCTACCTTTATTCATCACCACCCTCCCAAAAGTCGAGCAATAGGCAGTAACTCTGCAACTTCTCCTCGAGTGGTGGTCACTCAACCCAATACAAAATATACTTTCAAAATTACAGTTTCTCCCAATAAACCCCCTGCTGTTTCACCAGGGGTTGTTTCCCCTACCTTTGAACTTACAAATCTTCTGAGTCATCCTGATCATTATGTAGAAACAGAAAATATTCAGCACCTCACGGACCCTACGTTAGCACATGTGGATAGAATAAGTGAAGCACGGAAATTGAGCATGGGATCTGATGATGCTGCCTACACACAAGGTAATACTGATTCTAAGGGAAGGTTAATTTCCTTGAGTGGGATTATTTGATTTTACAGCAGTAATGGGTATCAGTAGTAATGGGTATTATCTTGTGTTATCCCAAGTAACATCTTAATATTTGAAGACATTCCTATAAATTTAAATTGTAATTTTACTGTCATATATTGGATAGAGTTATCAGCTCTTTAATAGTCAATCATGGTTTTTTGTTTAATGTCTATAACACTTTCTTTTCAGTTTTTCTTGTACCTGTGGTGATGCTGGCTTCCCTTTAAAACATCTACAAATAAAAACACATTTTTATGAGACTAGTTGACTGCTTTCTTTGACCACATATTTGAAAAATAAAACTTTGTCTTTTTTCTAATATGACATTGTTAGTCTTAACGTTCTATCAAAGTCTATATTGCTATGAGTCCTAGAATAATTTAAACTCAAAGAAAAAATTGAATCTTGTTCCTGATACTTGTCTCTTTCAGCCTCTCAATGGCATGCATATATGTATGCGTACATGGGCATATGAGTTTCAGAGGTCCCGGACTGATTTTAATTGCATTAGAAATTGTGTTAAAATTTACATTTTCCAGATATCTGTAGCTAAATGGAACCGCCTTTAGTTTGAGTAGTGCATGTATTTTAACGTACCATTAATTTTCTTCTTCTTTCCCCAAGGTATTATTTTTCTCTTCTTGTCAAAATAGCAGGCTTCTGGGCTGGGGATTTAGCTCAGTGGTTCCACCGCCTGCCTTGCAATTGCAAGGTCCTGAGATCGATCCCCGATACAAAAAAAACAAAACAAAAACGCAGGCTTCCTATGTTTGAATATTTACTGATAATTAAATGGAGAGCAAATGGGGTTTTTTTTGGGGGGGGGTTGTTTTTTGTACTGGAGATCGAACTCAGGACCTTGCGCTTGCAAGGCAGGTGGCGGGACCACTGAGCTAAATCCCCAGCTCTTAGCAAATGTTTTTTAAGAAGACAGTTTCATAAGAGAAATTATCAAATGAAATAGACATTCACGTTTAGCTGAATATTGCCAGTTAAATATTAAGTTATTCATATTTCAACATTCATGTTTTAACTCAAATGTGATAAAAGTATTGCTTAAATGTGCCATCTCCAATTTTTTTCCTCCATTCTCTTGAATCTACTGCACTCAGTACTTTTCCCACTACAATCAACCAGAACTTCTGTTACAGTCATCTGTTAATAAGATTATCACTCCATCCAGTAGACATCTTTCAGCCCTCATTTTCCTTGATGTATAGATAAAAATATTTAGTCAATCATCTTGTTCTTTATGAAACACTCTGCTTAGTTTCAGGTAGACTGTCACAGTAGTCTTCTTGCTCTTACCCTTGCCTTCTTGTGATCTTTTTTGACTCAGCAACCATTGAGACACTGTTGAAAACATATGTCAGATCCTCTGACTGGGGGATATTTAGTTCATGCAGAATAAAAGCTGTAAAGCCTTACATGCTGTGCTTGTCCCTTCCCCACCAGCTCTTTTCCTTTTATGCACCATCTTGCTTACACTGTTTCACCCCTACTGACCTCCTTGTTCTCCATTGATCATAGAAGCCATATTTTAGAGCCTTTGTGCTTGTTCTTCCTACTGTGAATTTTCTCCTCAAATCCACAGTTAGTTTTCTCATGCTTCAGTTCCTTACTTAAAGTCATTTTTTCAATGACACATTCCTTGTCTCACTACCTAAACTTAGCCCAGAATTCCCAGTGACTCCTATTTCTATAGGGAGAAAAATGAATAATATTAAGATACATAATAATGAATACTTGCTGGAAGTTTGCTGTGAATTAGTCACTGTTTTGAATACTCATTTATTTCCCACAACCAGCTATAAAGTAAACACTAACATTATTTCTTTTTTTCAGACTAAAGCACTTAGGAGCAAATAGTTTAAGTAACTTGCCAAAGTACAAATGGCAGAGTGAAGATTCTAACTAGGAAGTTGACAGAGTCCACACTTTTAACCACTGCACTACAATGTCTTTCTATTCAAATTTTTAAAATAATCTCTTTTCAGATGTATCTTGTAGTTTCATATAGCCATTACACACCCCTGTGGGACCCACGTGTGCCAAAGATTGAGAAACATGGAACTAAAAGATCAGTAAAAAACAAAAACAAGCAAATGAGCCAGATGTGGTGGCACACACTTGTAACCCAGCTACTCAGGAGGCTGAGGCAGAGTAGTAAGTTCAAGGCTAGCCTGGGCAACTTAACTAAACTCTAACAAAATAGAAAGGACTTGAATGTAGCTTAATGGTAGAGCACCCCTGGGTCTGATCCCCAGTACCAAAACCAAACAAATATAGGGAGGAAAATCACAATAAGCAGCTAAAATAGAAATAACTGGAGATAATAAAGTAATACTCAATGTAGAGAATACCTTCTGAAGGCACCTGAAAGTTAAAAAATAAAAAAAAAAAAATCCCTGATAAGTGAAGACTCTGGTTTGAAAGTTTAAAGCTTAAAGCTTACCAAGAAGTTTCCCCAGAATGCACCACTCAGATTGCTTCTCTTAACAGCAGTCTTCAGACAGCTATAACAACCCTGATCACTTTCTTTAAACATACCTATGTATGTATGGAATGTCATAACATTGGTGTGACTGTGTGATCTTGTATCATCTGTGCAGATCCATGTTGTATTGGAATGGGTGCTGTTCTACAACCTTTTACCTCTTTGTTGCTCTCTGTATATTATGAAACTGACATTGACCTAGGTTTACATATTAAGTGACAATCTTGATCTGATGTCTCATTAACCTGCTTCAAGGTGTATCAAAGGATTGTTCTTTTCTGAAAAATAAATCTCTCATGTGTGATACTTTATAGTTTACACAGCACTCTCCGTAGTATTAAATGGAGTGACCTGAGTAATATTGCTCTTTAAGCAAGGGTCTTTTCAGAATTCTGTTCCTAGTGGTATAGACAGAAGAAATAGCTTTGCTCCTGCAGTGAAGCTGCTCTTTATAAGATCTTGAAACATACAATGTCAGAGTAGAAAAATTAATTGAGCCAGGTACTGGAATCAGGAAAGTATTTTTCCCAAATTGAGGAGGGACCAAAAGTTGGTAATCAGAATGTATTATTTTTCTTGTAGATTTAAAATCTATAAATACTATACTAAATTCAGAAATGAAAATTTATTTTAAAAAGATGTTTAATATGTTCTCTATTATAGTGATCAGAAGAAAAGTAAAATAAAAGATAGATAATAGGAAGTAAGGAGATAGATCTTTCTCCAAGGGGAAAGGGATGAAGAGATGGAGGGAGGGAGGAGGCAGTGGAGAAAAAGGATGAAGATTAAGATGTTATGTACATGTGCCAGCTCCACATTGTATACTGCATTATATACTGCAAACATGTACTAATTAAAGATGTGACAGGGCCACCAGGCATGATGATGTATACACATAATTCCAGCTACTGGAGCAGCAGAGGCAGGAGCATCTGTTGAGCCCAGGTATTCAAGGCCAGCCTGGACAACAGAATAAGACCCTGTCTCTTTAAAAAAAATATATATATGTGTGTGTGTGTGTGTGTGTGTGTGCGTGTGCGCATTTATAAATATTAAATTATATACACCAAGAACAGAAAAGACGAAGTAAAATTCATGAAACTGCAACTACCTCCCTGCTTATATCACCACTAAGCCCAAAACTACCACTATCACCCCTAAAGGAAGTAAATTAAATTTTAGTCCTTAAAGTATTACAGAAATGTAAGACAAAAATGAGTACCAAATAGAAAACAATGTTGAAGAGAAATTGAAGTTTAAAATTTCCAGATATGAAGAAGATTCTTTTTACCTGTTAAGAAGAACAAATATAAAAATGAAATTGCTTACCAGTAGTACCATCACCCATCAAATAGTTACACCCCCTCCCCCAGGTTTCAAACCACCTACCACTTGACTACTAAAAAGTAGCAAAAGTACTCCATCATTTACTGTATTCTGAGACTTTCTAGAGTCCTCTTCCATTCATACTGGCATGCATGTTATAACTGGCAACTTTTACAGGTATGGAGAACAAAATGCTTTCCTCATTCAGACCAGTTTTTATGGTAGAAGAAAGAAGGCCTGTATTTTTATATTTTGTTACAAAAGCCAGGGACCCTTAGTAAACTGATATAACTGCCAAAAATGATTTCTCATTCTCTCTTCTCCAGAAATCCATCGGTAATGTTGACCTAGCTGGCAAACTTTTTTTTTAAATTACATATATGAAATCATAAATATTCTTAATGGTACTTTAATGCCATTTTCCCCGGTTATATTTGTGATTCCATCATACTCTTAACTAATAATCTTGATTTTGATTCTAAAATAGAAATGCAAGTTAAAAAATTGTAGGTTGAAAATAATTTTTTGGACTTAATTTTTTTCATTCCTTTTCATTTCACCAGTGCTTCCCTCCAAATCACAATGTCCTTCTGTTTAATAAGATTTAATAAAACACTACTTGGGACACAAATTCAATGAACTAGATACTCTTTTCAAAAGGAAATATAACTTATTTCATACCTTTTGTACCACGTTTAACTTAATGTAGCCACTGGTCAAAAATGCCTTCTGTAGAGTGTTCTATGTTGGCATTGAAATCACATTAAGTATGTACCTCAGTAATTAAGATTAATTGACATTAAACTATTTATGGATTTTTTTTTTTCCAAATTACCCCTATTGCCTGTCAGTTCTTCCACTCTTGTGCCAACTCTTTTTTTTTTCGTACTAGGGATTGAACTTGGGACCTTGCATTTGCGAGGCAGGCACTGGAACCACTGAGCTAAATCCCTGGCCCAGTTCTTCCACTCTTAAGTCTAACTACTTTTTAAAGTTGGAATAAATCTCAGAATTGGAAGAGATTTTAAAGGTCACATTGGATTCTAAATGAAAAGTTATCCAGTCCACTTACCAAAGAGCATGTAGTCCTACAGGATCCTTATCAAGTGTAAGTCCATCCTCTACTT